CCCACTGTGAGGGTGGGGAAAAACATCCTGAACAGGACATAACCCCCACCCTCAACCTCCAATGTAGTTCCAGGGTTTAGGGTTTAGGGCCAATGTAGTTCCTCTTTGGGTAAACAGATATATATATATATATACATAATCCCTTACCGAAAAACCCTGACAGACCTAAAAAAAGGAACTACATAGGAGGCCTTGGGTAAACCTGAAAAACCCAAGGCGCCGCGAGGCTCATCCACATCTTCGCGGAGTCATAGTTGGATGAGCTCAGTGAGTTCAGGGTCACCAAGGTGGCAGGGTCAGCAACGGAGATGCCCATGCCTCAGCATGCAGTACTTGGAGGGTCCGGGGGTCTTAGTAAGTGGGTTTATACTGGGAATAATTAGGGTTACCTTACGGGTTATAAGGACTATTCACTTACTTACTAAGTCCCCCTGACCCTCCAAGTAGGCACAGCTTCTTACAGCAATGCTGCCATGCTAAAGAGGGAAGAAGCGCGAAAAAATGAAAGGATCAATGATGAGTCCATGAAACTCCCAAACACACGGATCCTTCGCATGGAGATCTTTGAAGGGTTGACTTACGGACTTCCTGAAACAAGGCCATGCTACCCTCCGCGCCCTGAAAAGCAATGAAGGTGAGGAAGAGCCCGACGCCGGCGCCGATGACCTCTTTGATGCCTCTGCGTGCACGATTCAAGGATGAGGGCGAGGCATGCGCATGATGGGGTTGGAGAGAGTAGAGTGCATGGAATGGGGATAAGGCAGTTGGGAGCAGGATGAGTTCTCTGTAGTTTAGGATCCAAGTCGGACTGTGAAGGCAAAAGTCTTACCCATGAAATACAGGCATAGCTTTTGAGTTGAAACTCCTTGTTCGTAAGTTGCAAGTACCCAATGAAGGTTCATAGGGGTTTGCGCCCTCTTAGGCCTCGGCTACTGGGGGCTCTGTAATCACAGTGATTTTGTCTTTGGAATGTCAAGATTATCAGATTACTCCGATGTCTCTTTAGTCCTCCTCTCTGCGAGCATACCATTACTTGGAGGGTCAAGGGGACTTGGTAAGTAGGGTAATAACCCCTATAACCCATATAGTAACCCTAAGTATCCCCATTATTAACCTAGTTACTAAGTCCCCTTGACCCTCCAAGTATGAAGCCTTTTCCCAGGCCCCTTTCAATCCAAGGCTTCAGGTCATTGGATACCCAAAAAAAGGAGAAAAGGGGAGGCAAGGAGAAGTGGACGGAAGCATTCTGAAACAGCTTCCCCGAAGCCCACCTCGAGGCTCGAGCCCAACATCACGTTTTGGAACCCCAAAACCTAGCAGGAAGAGTGTTTTTGTATAATTAAGGAGTTGGATATGGTAGTTTCCTTAAAATAAGGGGACCCCGATATAGACCCCCAAATACTATAGTCCTTATTATGGGAACCCCCGGTACCCCTTATTTTGGGAAACTCCCATATCTCCCAAAAAAGGGGATGAGACATCCCGCTAAAAGCCCAAAGCTGGCAAGCCTTCGGGGAACAGCCGGATCAGCAGGGTACGCATTCCGGTCACCTTGAAGACGTGGGGTTTAGGGCTTAGGGGTTGGGGTTCAGGGTTTAGGGTGGGCTCAGGGGTCCAGGGCTTGCAGTTGAGGATTTAAAGTATATTACTATTATCATTACTCCCTGGTAGTAGTACTATATTACTATCATCATCCCTATACTACTACGCAATTATTACTGTATTCCCGCTCTGTTCACGTAAGTCAAAATCTGAAGCAAAAGGCGTTTGGAAGCCTTGGGCTATAGGCCCCCTTAAGATATATATAATATGGCTTTGGGTAAATTATAAAACCCTAGGGATCCAAATGGCCCAATGTAGGTAATATTTACAGACTTTGGGCCCCAATGTAGGTGTTGTTTGTATACTTGGATCCCTGGGGAAATGATCCCCATATACCCCATATTCTATCTACTTAAGAGGGACTATATCTTGAAAGCGGCTGGCCATCTAAAGAGCCCTGCCATGTTCTGGTGGGCTGGGTGGGTTGAAAAGCGCTGATGGTGCCAAATTTTTTGCACAAATACTATTCATGTGGCCCTAAGGGTTGCCCCCGAGTATGCGAAATCCAAGTGCACACAAACTCTTTGAAGCTGTCTCGAAAGGGGCGGTAATCTGAAGCAGGGATCGTAAAGAGATTGCCTGTGTTTTGCCATGGATTGCCTGGGGGTTTGCTAACTGCCTACGTCTGAACTCTTAGAACAAAAACCTGTCTTGCAAGTCCTAGATAGCGATGATTAAAACAAGTTTGCAACCCGTAAGCCTACTCGGAAGATGTCCGAAGAAGATTTTGGAGTCTAGGCTACTATTTTCTTGAGTTCCCTTACCACCTCCCTCATAATTACTATCCCATCTAAGTAGGTTTCCCCTTGGTCTGCCCTAAGTTTCCCTAAGTAACCTCAATCACGAGGGAGCTCATGGTAGCAATCGGTTACGTAAGGTGGCAGGGGATATCATGGCTTAACCCAGACCCGGGTTTGAGGGTTTAGGGTTTGGGGTTCATACCCCTGATTAATAACCCCCATCTCCTTAATAGGGATTACAATAGGGATAATGGAAAAGAACATGGATACTACTTTACAGTAGATGGGTATATATAGGGGTTATATAGGGATAATGGGATTATAGTAGGGACCCTAATAGCTAGACCTTTAAAAGGAGGGGGTTTATCAATCATGGGTCTACATTCTGGGCCAGTCACGCTGAGCACGGTAAAGAGGATGCCAGCCACAAAGACCGCCGCAAAGGCCGCTTGCCAAGGAAGGCCCCGGCCCAGGACGATACTAAAAGTGAAGTAGGCGTTGGTCCCCATGCCTGCCCAGGGAGCCGAAATATCCCTAAACTCTGGAAGGGTCCTTAAGCCAGAGTAATGTTGGGTCCTGATTAGTGTAGGGCCCCCCCCAACAAAAATAGGTCCCTATTTAGTATAGGGGGTGCCCCCCCCCCAAACAAATCTGGATCCTAGGCTTTAATTAAAATCAATAGCGGGATTGGATCCTAGGTTTTGATTAAAATAGAATAGGATTCTATTGACTTTTTCTCAGAATTATTTATTTTGGCCTCGCAACTTCGCACAATTGAGCACCCCCAAACGAACCTAGGGGGTGCTGAATAATTTCGGCGAAACTTCGTACAATTGAGAACCCCCACACTAATCGGGAGCAAACATTAAGGATACTAATACCATTGAACTTATACTGGCTATACCCAAGGGCTCCTATGTAGTTCCTTTTTGGGTCGGTTATGCCTTTTTGGTGAGGGATTATATAGCACCACCCAGAAAAGGAACTACACTGGAGGGCCTGGGTGAGCTGTCCCTAAACCCATGCGCATAGAGAGGTTTCTTAGGGTTTAGGGTTTAGGGTTTTTGCATGAGGCCAACCAAAACAAGCTGCGCATCTCTGGAAACAACCACCTTTACAATCACAAATGATGATTCATCAGACATGTACTGCAATTTGACGATGTTGAAGCAGATGGGCAGGGCTGCTGTAGGATGGTATGAGAATGACCAATCATTGGTTCTGGTAAGGATGCACCATGGCCTTTCCCCCCCGTCTGTCTAAGTCCTTCGCATTCATGAGAAGCATCCTTAAACTTAGGGTTTAGGGGTTTCGGGTTTAGGGTAGACTAGGGTTTAGGGTGTAGGATTTAGGGTTTAGGTAAACTGCTGAGCACCTGAAAGTTGAATTCAGTCGTCCCTGGACGTACTGAGTACATTCGTCACGCCAGGGTCTGATGTCAAGAATGAGGTGCCTAAACCCCCAAACGTATGTAAAATAATTGCCCTAAA